GTGGGGGGGGTGCGGGCCGGCTGCCGCCGGGCCGGGGCCCCGTAGCCAGACCGTGCTCCTTTAAGGGCTCCGGGGCAGGGAGAGGGGCAATAGAGTTTCCCTGCTAGTGCCTAGAGTGGCCACCAGGGAAAGCTGGGGAGGGCTAGCCTCCCACTAGTTCGGATTAAGGGACTACACAGCCCTTAATTCGAACTAGTAAGGTCGAACTAGGCTTAGTCCTCGTAATTTGAGGTTTACCTAGTTCGAACTAAGCGCTCCGGTAGTTCGAATTAAGTTCGAACTAGCGGAGCGCTAGTGTAGCGCCTATGAAAGTTAATTCGAACTAACATCCGTTAGTAGTGTAGACATACCCACAGTTACATGCTAAGTACGATTCTAAAGAAGACTAAAGTGGGTTTCAGTTGGGAGTAATGCATACTTTGGTTTGGATTTACACTCTCAGGTTCACCTGCATTGGACCATGTTTGTGGTTTGAAGAGTTATCTTCCCAACTGGAGGACAATGGCTTCAGCTAGACTTATTTCACTTAATTTCATTTTTTTTAATTTGAGGCAGGTCAGGGACATTAAGATATTTTAAAGTAAGCATGATACAGTAGAGACCCATTAAACAAGTCATTTCATTGAATTTACAAGCTCAAATTGTACGTTATGCAGTTCTCTTTTATAGTTCCCCATTTGACTACTTTCTCCCTATGATTTCATACTGTCCCCCAGTGCTACAAACAGCCTCTGCCTTTCATGTGCAAAGTGATCTCCATTTTGTTCTTCAAATAATTTCGTATGTTTTTAGCATATCACTGATTTCCTTTCCAAAATGGTCTGCTCTCACTATTGTTCCGGGTCTGTCTACCTGTGTCTACCTGTCTCTTCTAGGACCCAATCCAGCCCTTTGACATTCATTGGTAAACTTATTGACTTTAACGAGAAAGGAATCCAGCTATTACATTGTAAGAACATTAGGACAGTGGCCTTTTATGTGTGTGTACTGTAGGGATGTAAAACGTTATTTTAAAATGTAACCGTGTTATTGCTAAAATTGCTGAGCCACATGGAGGGAGCAGCCTGTATTGTCAAGCAGGCTGGGGCTGCTGGCCAGGAGACACTTTGGTAAACTTCTCCCACCCACACCCCCTCCCTAACCCTACACCCCAATCCCTGGACCCAGGTCACAACCCCTCCTCCACCCAAACTCCCTCTGAGATCTCACACCATCTCCTGTACCCCCGTCCCTTACCCCGTGCGCCCTTCTGCACCCAACCTCCACCCTAGACCCTGCACCCCACTCCACAGAGAAGTGCGGCCCTTGACCATTTACCAAAATCTTGGAATGGCCCCCCACCAAAAGTTATTGCCCACCCTGCTATAACATGTAGCAATGTATGGATTAATTCAATCAGCCCAACAGTTAAATAGGTTAACAATATTATTAACAAGCGTTAGCATGGTCTGAGCCTCTGCCCAAAGCAGATACTTTTCAGTGTGGATTTATTCAGGTTGAATCTTTCTAGTCTGGCACCCTTGGGACCTGACTGGCTCCAAACCAGAGAATTTTCTGGACCATAGGAGTTCAGTATTGTCTAATAAAATTGTCGACAGGCTCCAAACCAGAGAATTTTCTGGACCATGGGAGTTCAGTATTGTCTAATAAAATTGCTGACGTTTCCACTGCTTACTGAGCTATTACTGAGCTGAGGGGTAAATTAGAGCTAAATAACAACACAAAGCACTGAGAACTAGGACTGGTGGCTGTAAACAAATTTTACGGGACCACGGGAAACTTGTCCACACCCATGAAAAGTGGACATCTGGCTAATTCAAATCATTCCAGACGACGGATGTTTCCAGAGCAGAGAGTTCTGAACTAGAGAGGTTCAACCTGTACTGCACAAGAATGGACACCATGATCCATTTTTAAATTTCACTAGACACCATTAAAATCCATTCCACATACATGTCTCAATAGTCCATTAGTGCTACTACCCTTTCTTTAAATACTCACCTCAGATGATATTTATTAGACAGTAGTTCTCTTGTGCCATGGAAAGAGATATATACCACAGTGCTGTGTCTAGCAGCCAAAAGTTACAGCTCAGTTTCTTTAGAATCATAGGGCTGAAAGAGACCTCAGGAGGTCATCAAGTCCAGCCCCCCCGCCCAAACCAGGACCAACCCCAACTCAATCATCCCAGCCAGGGCTTTGTCAAGCCAAGACTTAAAAACATCTAGGGATGGAGATTCCACCACCTCCCTAGGTAACCCATTCCAGTATTCATCACCCTTCTAATGAAATAGTTTTTCCTAATATCCAACCTAGACCTCCTCCACTGTAAATTGAGACCATTGCTCCTTGTTCTGCCATCTGTCACTACTGAGAACAGCCTCTCTCCATCCTCTTTGGAACCTCCCTTCAGGAAGTTGAAGGCTGCTATCAAATCCCCCCTCACTCTTCGCTTCTGAAGTCTAATCAAGCCCAAATCCCTCAGCCTCTCCTCATAGGTCATGTGCTCCATTTGGTTGCCCTCCGCTGGACCCTCTCTAATGCGTCCACATCCTTTCTATAGTGGGGGATCCAGAACTGGACACAATACTCCAGATGTGCCCTCACCAGTGCCGAATAAAAGGGAATAATCACTTCTCCAGATCTGCTGGCAATGCTGCTACTAATGCACA